CTTGAGGCGGGTGGTGGGATTTGAGGTCGGGGGGGCTGCGCGCCGCTCCGCCGCGAAGCCGATGCTCGGCCATGTCGATCGGCAATGCATTTCCCTTCTTGGATGGCTCTGTCTTCAGCTTTCTCTTACAGGAGAGGTGGTGGAACCGCCTGGGCATCTCGACGAGAGAGGGATATCTGGCCATGCGCCTTTTCAGGTCGCGATTTCTCCAGGGGGTCTTGTTCCTGTATCTGAGCGCCATATTCCTCCAGAGGTTTGTGACCGCCCCGCCTGCCGTGAGTTTTTGGAGGCCATCGGCGCCGACTGTGACCTGAGCTCGCTCACCCCTCCTCTTTTGCTGCAATTTTTCATACGGGGATGACGCGCGGGGCTGCCGAGGTCGCCCGAGACGGTGTGATTATCGGCTCCCCCGGGCCCCCATTTATTCGGATAGTGAGTGCCAGAGCTATCGGCCGAGCGATCTGGAGGCAAGACCTCAAGTATGCTGAGAGAATTAGACGTTCGCACGAGCTGGGCAGGCTTTTCCTTCAGATCGACCCACTAGCTGGGGCAGTGGAGCTGACGTATCCGATTGAGTTCCAGAGGCGCTCGAATTCGACCCGCGAGATGGTAGCGACTCAGAAAGAAGCCAACCTCCGCAATGCGATCTCGGATGCGACTGATGAGCTGACTAGAACCAAAGCTCGCCGATAGTTGAAAGCCGCGATGCGCCGAAGCCGTCTTTGGGCACCTTTCGATAGGAAGATGTCCCTGCAGGGTATCCAGACATCTGCGAGGGGTGCAGTTGTCGCGGCGCCTTCTGCAGCTTTACAGATTTGGCTGGCCACTGGGGACCAGTCTTTGAGAAGAAAGAGATCAATGTGTCTGCCGCACGTGAATATCTTCCTTTCTATTCTGGCGGTGTTGATCTTTCTGATGTTCCTCCCCCTTCCCTTCGTCTCCTTGAGCGTCGTCTCGAACGCGTTGAAGATTGCCCCTGGGCTCGATGGTCTCCCCTACAGGGCTTGGAAGAGGCGCCCTCAGGCTCTCCCTATCCTGGATGCTGCGTTATGGTGGCAACTTAGCGGGGAGCCCATGCCCCCGTCCCGCGACAGCGCGCGCGGTATATTTATTGCCGAAGGTGAGGATGAGGAAGGCGCACATCTGATTACCAGGACCCCTGACCAGACCAGCCCCTTGGGCCTCAAGCAGTCGTCCATCAAGATCATTGCTAGTACGGTGTTTGAGAGTATCAGCGAGCTTCTGAACACATGTGCTTGTTTCTCTCATCGCGGGATCGTTCAAGGTCGTAACTTTTGATTCAATATTTTAGAACTGGATGCTCGCAGTCGTATGATGTCTATGTTACCTGATGCAGCCCATCGGCTCCCAGCATTACTCTCCTTCGATTATGGCCGGACCTTCCCATCGGTGGCGCATGCGTGGATCTTCATGGCCCTCGCCGCGTTCAGGGCCCCCGCGCCGCTGCCAGTCTTTGTGGAGCATCTGCGCTTGAACGTTCGGTGCGGCGCCACGCATGGACGTGCATGTGAGTATGTCTATGACATCCTTGCTGGCATCGTCCAGGGCTGCCCTGGCTCAGGAGCGCTGTTCGCCATTGGCAGTCACCCCTTCCTGGTCGATCTGCATCGGCGCCTCGAGCAACGTGCCGACGCGCCTCAGTATGCGATGCAATGTCGAGTGCAGGCCATCGTCGAGCAACTGTGCTTGAGTTTGGCGAGAGCATGTGCGGACGACGTCGGGGCGGTGGTCTCCTCGATTGATTCGTGAACTACATCGTCTGGAAGCCGCGTTTGACTGCAGCGAGGCCCTTGCCCGTTTCAAGTTGAAGCGAGCCAGATGCTTTTTAGTCCGTCTGGCGGGGGAATTCCCCCCGACCCTCGTTGCCAAGTATCGGATGTGGCTTCGGAATGATCTCCCCGATTAGGGTTGTTTCCCGATCGTTGCTTCGTTGAAATAACCCGGCCTAGTGCCTGGGCCAGCTGTCAGCGCAGATAGCTGGGGCAAGCCGCTTATTCCATGGGCCTCCCGTAGTGCTAAGATTTCACAAGTAGGCTCTCCGTCCACCATCGCAGAATATCTCTGCATTAGTCGTGCTTTGTCCGCGTTGTCCTACGTTGCCCCAGTCTCTCCTCTTCCCGACGCCTCCCCCGCTCTGCCTGTCCCCGCTGCCCGCGTCGAACACTCGACCTTCGCGTCTCTCTTTAGCGTCCCCCATTGTGCTATTTCCCGAGCTGGTTGGTTCAATATCGGACAAGGGGGAGGACCCCGACTAACCGACATCCAGGCGATGAGCGCGGCTGGTTTGATGCGGGCCGCCATCCGCGCGTTTCCAGGGCGCGCCTCGATTTTAGATGACCTCAGAGAGTCAGAGCACCTTCCGATTGAGAATCTTTGTGCTGGCCGATCCCCCCCCCCCTTCTGGGTCAGCCCTGCCTTTGCGGAGTATCTCGGTCAGGCCGCTGTTGGCTGCCCATCCTCGAGCTCTCTTGCTCGAGCTGGATCGATCGCTCTGGACGTCGCCTAGGGGCTTCTCGCTGCCGTTACTGAGATCCCTCGACCCCCAATGCGGATGAAGTTGCAGGCCCATCTTGTCCGTGTTGTCCAACGTGAACTCTTCCCTTGCGATCTTGGTGCTACCGTCGTCCGCCGTCTTGCTTCGTGTTTTTTCGAGTCCGCTTGGGTCCTGGACTTTGTGAAATGGGAAGAGGTTCGCTCGCTCGTTCATAAGATGCGTGGTCCATGCGCCAATGGTGCGTGGAAGACTCTCTCTGGCAGTTGGATCACCTCGATGAGGTTCCATGACAACCAGAGATTAACGTGTATGTTAGGCTGTCCAGCCTCTGATTCTTGTCAGCACTACTGGGAGTGCCCTCTTTTCCTTGCCCTGTTGCAGCAGGCTCTCCCCAGCGACGTCCATTCCTGTCCCATCTGCCGCCTCGGTATCTTTCTTCCCACCTGCGAGTCTCTGTCCGTTCCCGCTTGTGCCCACTTGTTGTTCTTGAATTTCCGCGCCCCTTTTCGCCCGCCCTATCCTCTGTCTGCTTCGGCCGCTAATTTTTCGATGCCCCTCGCGAGGGTGCAGCTTGCGCGCGCGCGGGCTCGGGCCGATAGACAGGACTGCGGCGCGTGGCCACGTGCGAGGAGGAGGAGGAGGAGGAGGAGGAGGAGGAGGAGGAGGAGGAGGAGCAGGAGGAGGAGGAGGAGGAGGAGGAGGAGGAGGAGGAGGAGGAGGAGGAGGAGGAGGAGGGGGCAAGAGGAGGAGGATGAGAAGGAGGAGGGGGAGGAAGAGGAGGAGAAGGACGAGGAGGAGAAGCAAAACGGCCCTGGGCGCACGCGTGCGCGACCCTCTCGGCGCTTGCCGAGGGGAACGGTACCCGCCGAAGCTGGCGGCTCATGAGCCCGACGGGGGAGCGCTTGCGTGCTCTGCGTGTCGTCGCAGGAGCATCATCGCCCTTATGAGCGTCGTGGAGCGCTGGTGTGGCGTGCCGCTGGGTACGTGTGTAGCGCGAACCGTCCGCGTGTGTATCCAGCCCGAGGCCTCGATCAGCACCGCGCATGAGTTCAGCCGCGTGTTATCTCAGCACAGGGCAGGGGTTGCCCACCATGTTGCGCATTCTGCTCTCCTTCCCGAAGCGCTCGCGGGGGGGTGTGGGGTGGTGTCCGGGCCTTTGCGGCGCGTCCCCGGTGGGCACGAGGCACAGTGGGTGCGCAGGTGGATTGCGCGAGGATCGCGGTGGACGACGAAGACACCGCCAGCGCAACACTGCACCACGACACCAAGAGTATGCACCGCAGACTCCTGTTTCAGCGCGCCGACCACAGGGATTGTTTGTAAAATCGTTCGTCCCCTTCAGGATGCCTCCGGAAAAGAGGCCGTTCGAGAAATTATTTTTCGGTCATCCTTCTTGTGGCGCCACAGCGACAGAACACTGTGTTTCTTGGGTCGACTTGCGTGAACATCACAGACCATCGCACCGTTTTTGCCCGTCGAATATTCAAGCACCCGGGTGTTTTCTGACAGCCAAGCTAACATATTGTCCCGGCGACGCTGCCCACCCATGTCGCTGCGCGACCTTTGCATGCCAGTGCTGTGCATCGAAACGCGCGCAAATAATTTCGCCGCGCAATACGCACAAGGAGAGTTTCTCAAATTTGGAGGCGAGCCCCCCCGCCCACATGCATGCACCAGGCTGCCCTTTTCCTTTCTCCCCCCTCAAGAAAACCAGCATGTCGCGAGGGCTAGCGCCTAGTGCGAAGAGGAGCAGGGGGAGGAGGCGTCGGCGGCGGCGAGACGGTGCCGGGTCGAGGGTGGAGCGAAACGAGCAAAGCCACATTCAGAGAAATTTCAGACATGTGCGACCTCCCGTGCGCGTCGAAAGACGTCGAGAGTTGATGGCCCCACGGCGGGAGCCTCGACTTGCCTTCGCGTCGCCGTGCGCAGCGCTTCCGCCCACGAAAGGCAGTGCCTGCGGTGCCCGCGGTAAAACAGCGGTGCTCGGGCGACGCGTGCACCTTGTGTCGTGTCACACGCCAGCGGTGCTTCTGTGTTGCCATGCGCAGCGCCTGCCCCCTCGGGAGACGGAGTCCCGCGGTGCCTGCGCCAGCACAGTGATGCCCAGAAGGGGGGGGGGCTTGGCTGAGCGCACGTTGCATTGGATGGCGTCGCTGCGGGTGCGACGATGACGTCTTCACCGGTGACGGCGATGGCGACGCCGCAGCGTTCGTGGTCATGGTGCGCGATCTTCCACGTTGCATCCTATCGCCCTATTTTCCCCTCAGTGCGTCATCACTGGTTCCTTTGGCTGACGCGGTGATGCGAGAAAATGCCTGACGCGTGACGAAACGTAGATTCGCACCGCTGCCGTTCGCTTGATGGCCTGCCTTCCGTGTTGAAGCCGAAGGCTGCGGACCTATTTTTCTCTTGTGTGAACAAAAGGATCAGGAGGATGATGATGATGATGAGGAAGAATGGGAGGATGAGGACGAACACAAACGGGAACAAAAACAATATCACGAGCGAGGAGGGGGACTCCCGCAGGAAACTCGGAAGCGGGGCCGCGAAACGCCCGTGGAGCTCGTCGTTCACGAGGACGCCGACTCGGCGAAGCTGGACATGGAGGCCATCCCTTCCCTTCCTCCTCTTCGCGGGAAGGAGGCAGAGGGGGGATGATAATGATAATTACAATAGTAATAATGATAATGATGCTGATGCTGATGGTGTTGCTGATGATGCTGCTGCTGATGATGATTGTGCTGGTGCTAGTGGTGGCAATAGTGGTAGTGATGATGATGATGATGATGATGATGATGATGATGGTGATGGTGATGGTGATGATGATGATGATGATGATGATGATGATGATGATGATGATGATGATGATGATGATGATGATGATACTGATACTGATGATGATGCTGATGATGGTGATGATGATGATCATCATCATGATCATGATCATGATGATGATGATGATGATGATGATGATGATGATGATGATGATGATGATGATGATGATGATGATGATGATGATGATGATGATGATGATGATGATGATGATGATGATGATGCCTGTTGTGATGACTTTGACGATGGTGAGGGTGATGATGAAGAAGGGGGTGATGAGGATGAGGGGGATAAATATGGCCCGAGCACTCCCAGGATGCGTCGTCGATGCTGCAATACACCTTCCCGTTCCAAGTCCTCTCGAGAGACGAGCGTCCCTGTTGAGGCCTGCCCTTCCAGCGAGATCACCGTAACAAGAACAAGAACTGCCCTCAACATTGCAGCCATGAAATGTATAAATATGTGTACTCCCGATCCATGGCCATGATGTTCAATTCATCTCAAACAGTTCGGCACTCTTCCTACAAGCCTGCGCCCCAAGACGGCCCAAGAGACCCCCAAGAGAGCCTCTAGACAGCTTGGATGGCCCCAAGACTGCCCAGGGAAGCCAGAGGCCCAACAGGCCCCCACAAGCTCCCCAAAAGAAGCCCACGAAGGCCATGGGAGGCCCCAAAAAAGGCTATGGGAGGCCACCAGGAGGGCCCACTTAGCCCCCGTAAGGTCTTTAGAGGGCCTAAGCTCCCCAGCACGGCCCAAGATGGCCCCAAGCCAGCCCACCAGGGCTCCAACAAGGCCCACACGGCGTTTTCCACCAAACTGACCCGAGTCCCGGGTTTGCAACCACATTTCCAGGAAATTTGTTGCGAACCTGGGATTTGATGCATTCCCCTTTCGCGTGCCCCGTTGCGACCCGCTGCAACATGACATCTTCGGCTTGGCATTGCTTTGTACTTTGCGGCGTTGCTTGACATTGCGTGGTCTGCTTGGCGTTCATTCGCGTAGCTTGCAATTCCTCGGTGTGGCGCAAACGAATTCTTCGCCGTCCCCCGACGGCGCCATCTCTTTTCTCCTCCTGCTCCTCTCTGTGTCCTCCTCCTCCTCCTCTTTCTGCCGCTCCACCACTCGTCCTCCCCCACATCCGCTTCCCTCTCCTCGCTCCCCGAGATTCCCTCCCTCTTATCTTTCGCCCTCCACGCCGAGCCTTTCGGGAGCCCCCGGAGGCCCGGGAAGGGCCACGGACCGCCCTTATTTTCGAAGCCTTCCGAAAACCACCGCAGGGAAGGGGCCAAATTTCCAAGGCCACTAGGGATGGCGCGAACGACCAGCATATGCAAAGCCTCAATGACCAAGGTGCATGGCGCGAAACGCCAATGCAGTCTTGTACACATATATATATATATACACATACATATGTAGCGGATCAGCATCGTTTTCGGAATTTCAAGCGACAGCCCAACTTGGAAAGTGAGCGCCACTCCCGCATTTTTTGTCATGTGTTGTCGTACCATATCCTTATGGAAGAACCCCAAGGTGGCTTGTCCGAGGGGGGTTGCCCAGTGCGGCTGCCCAGATCTCCGCCGGGGTGCCCAAGGGGTTGTCCAGGTAGGTCGTCTTGTCGTCACTCAGAAGGAGGAGGAGGAGGAGGAGGAGGAGGAGGAGGAGGAGGAGCAGGAGGAGGAGGAGGACGAGGAGGACGAGGAGGAGCATGGGTTGTCCGGGTTGTCCTGGGGGCTGTCCGGGGAGCCTCCGCGTCGTAAGGCCAGCCGACGCACGACGCAGGAGCCCGCCCCCTGAAACCAGGGCGCCCTCCCGCCGTCCAGCTGTGGCAGGCCTCTGCGGCGAGCATGCCCGGCGCCAGTGCGAGCACCAGCTCTGGAAAGCGCCCCCTACACTTTGAGATCCGCGTGGTCGTGGTCTGCGGTCGTGCATCTCCCTTCCGTCCTCCCCTTTTCCCGGCCTCATCGCAGGCCGATGTTTGTCGGCCTCGCTGCCAGCTCGGTCTCGTTCTGGTCCCGCTCTGCCGTCTCATCGTTCGGCGTTCGCCCTGTTGTCCGACCCCCCGCTGCTTCTGCTCCTCCAGAGAAAAGTGCCATCCGCGTAACGATAAAACTGTTTTTTCATACGAGCATGCATGGCGCCACACTTACCGCCACACTTCGATAGCGGCCCGCCTCCCTCTCCGCATAACGGTTGCCACTTTCCATCTCCAGGATCCCGTGGAAAAGTCTTCAGCGAAACGCTTGGCCCGCCTTACCGACAGACACAACGGGTCGACGAGGGAGGAAAGCTTTTCAGGTAAGGCAGAGGTAGGTCGGTATTTTTTGGGGGGTGGTGGGGGGGGGTCTCGGGGGAATTTGGGATGCTTCAGGTTGGAGGAGACCTGGGAGGACAGCGAGGGGGGACGGAGCGAGCAGGAGAAGGGGGGGAGGAGGGAGGCGAGGCCCGACGTGGAGGCCACCTCGTTGTCGTCGTCATCCCCGTCGTTTGCCGTGCGCTCTTCGATTGCTCGCGTCCTGTTCGAGTGTTCGGCGGCGCTCGGACGCGGCCCGTCCTTCCCGCGCGCGGCCCTGTTGCCCCATCTCTCGTGCACGGGCTGCATGATCCAGGGCCAACACGACACCAGGCTCGGTGAACACACGGCGAGCCAGCGCAGCTGGAACTCCCTCCCTCCCTCCCAGGCGTGAGGAATTGTGTGCTAGAGCTTTGGTCGCTTGGAGGGCGGCGAGCGTCGGCAAGGGACCTTCGTCTCTGCATCTCGCTTGCCGCCCTCACCTGCGAGCCGAGCGCACCCAGCGTGAAGGTACTGGCCGACGACGACCTCCCCTCCTCGTCCCCTCCCGCCTCCTGCTCCTGCTCCCGCCTACAGTGGGGACCCATGCCAAGAAACGCCCTGCTTGCCTCCATGGTGCCCTGGGTTTCTTTGGCTTCGAGCTTCGAGGGTTCTGCGATGGAGGGCGCGACGTTCCCACGCCAAGAATCAATGAACGTCCTGGGGTCTCAGGGTTGGGTTTCTTGTGGAAGGTTTCTTGTGATCGGGCCCCCACTATATCCTCCTGCAGATGCTGCGGCTCCTCGTCCTCTTCCCCCCTGTTGCCCCCGCTCCTCCGCCTCTTCCTCTTCTCTTCCTCTTCCTCCTCCTCCCTTCTTCTTCTTCTTCTGCCTCTTATTTTTCTTTCTCCTCCTCCACCTCCTTCTCCTCCTCTCTGATTATTGTTTCCTCTTCTCTCCCTTCCTCGTCCTTGTTCTCGTCGTCGTCGTCGTGCCCCTCCCTGCCCCTCCGCATCTCGAGGAGGCCGACGCGGCGAAGCCTGACGTGGGGGCCATCTCCGAGGCCGACACGGCTTACGCCAGCGACGGGCAGGACATCTCGGGGGGCCAGACCAGCGACGAACACGAGAAAGGCCCCGCGGGGAGGTGCGGGGAGGCAGGAGGAGGAGGAGGAGGAGGAGAAGGAGGAGGAGGAGGAGGAGGAGAAGCAGCGGCAGGAGGCGGAGGAGGAGGAGGAGGAGGAGGATGAGAAGGAGGAGGAGGAGGAGGAGGAGGAGGAGGAGGAGGAGGAGCAGCAGGAGGTGGAGGAGGAGGGGTTTGGCATATTCGTGTCGTAGCGTGCCGACGCGCCAGCGACCCAGCGCGGGGCGTTCCAGGTTGAACGCCGCCAGTGGACTGGAGTCGGTCGACATCGAACGATCCTGCGCGATCTGAAAGGTGCGATCGTTCACGGTTGAACGATCCGCGCGGTGCCAGAAACCACTGCGTAAGTCGCGACTGCACGAACCCGCCGTATGAAAGCAGTTGTGCGTGACTCCGCGCGAGTAGTTCAGCACCTGGGGTGCCGCCGCGGGCTGCCCCTTCCCAGATCCTGGCTGCCCCCGGAGCGAAGGGTTCCGGATCTCGATCTCGTCCCCTCCCCTCCTTTGGGAGGGGACTGCGTGGGAGGTTGTGGGGGCAGGGGATGATAATGAGGTGGAGGGAAAGGGAGGAGGAGAAGGAGGAGGAGGAGGAGGAGAAGGAGGAGGAGGAGGCAGAAAAGATTGCGGAGGAGTAGGTGAAGGAACAGGATGATGATGGTGATGATAATGATGCTGCTGATGATGACGATGGTTGTGATGATGATGACGATGCTGACGAGTGATGGTGATGCTGCTGCTGCTGCTGATGATGATTAATATTACGTTGATGATGATAAGGAGGATGAGGATTAGGATGATGACGATGCCGATAATGACGACGATGATGATAATGATGATGATGACGATGCCGATGACGATGATGGCAATAATACTGATGATGATAATGATGATGATGCTGATGACGATGAGGCTGATGATGATGCTGATGATGACGATGCTGATTGTGATGACGATGTTGATGATGGTGGTGATGATGATGCCGATGCTGATGGTGTTAGTAAAAATACTGATGATGATGCCGATGATGATGAGGAGGAGGAGGAGCAGGAGGGGGATGATGATGCCGATGCTGATGCAGATGCTGATGCTGATACTGATGAACATGCTGCTGCGGCTCATGTTGTTATTGTCGTTGTTGTTGATGATGATGATGGTGAAGGTGATGATCATGACGACGATGATGATTCTGATTCTGATTCTGATGATGCTGATGATAATGATGGTTATGAATGATGATGCTGCTGCTGCTGATGATGATGATGATGATAACGATGCTGGTGATGATTATGATGATGATGCTGATGATGATGATGATGATGCTGCTGTTAGTGATAATGATGATGCTGCTGATGATGAAGATGATGCTGATGCTGATGCTGATTATGATGATAATTATGATGATGGTGGTGGTGGTGATGGTGATATGATGATGATGATGCTGCTGCTGCTGATGATGATGATGATGATGATGATGATGATGATGATGATGATGATGATGATGATGATGATGATGATGATGAGGAGGAGGAGGAGGAGGAGGAGGAGGAGGAGGAGGAGGAGGAAGGCTGCTTGCGGGAACTCGATCCCCCGTAGTCGCCGCTGGGCGCCACGCTTGGTCGCGCGCGCGCGCCAGGGGGGGCCGGCCTCGCCGCGCCAGCCGCGACCGCCGGCGCGCGTACCACGAGAAGATGAACATTCGGGAGAGGGTGATCATCTTCCTGCTTCCAGGAGAGGAAAATCATCCATCAGTTGTTGAAGCACAAGCCGGACATCCACATCGTCAGCTAAGTGTCACGATATTTACCCACTTCGATGGAGGCCCCCCGGTAAGTATGCCGAGACCATACACGCATAAAAGAGTACGAACAGCTGCAGCTCTCAAGAGACTGTCTGGCACGGGCTACAACCACACCTCAACGACATCATGACCATCGCTAAGGCCGCCCTCGAGATGGCGCCCACTACAGGAAGGGACGAGCTGCGTATAATGCTGTCCGAAGACGAGCTGCGTAACAGGCAACCCAAGTACGAGAACCACCATCAGCACGACACCAAGCACGCCACTAATATCGACGGCGAGTGCGACAGCAAGAGCGGCGGCTTGAACCCAGCCGCGGCTATTTCCAAGCCGAGCCAGATTACGATCGCCCCCCTGCCGCAAGAGGACAGTGCTGGGGCGACCTGGTGTTCCCTTTCTCAGATACCGGAGCCCAGGAAGGCCCAGGAGGCCAGGAAGGCAGAGAAGACCCGGGGAGGCTCTGGATATCACTACAGAGCTACAACGGCCACTTGCCGGACTTCCAAGGCAACGCGCAGGGCCTCGAGGGCCACCAGCTAAGCTTCTAAAGCCACTTGCTGATAGACGACCACAAGCTGTGCTACGAGGGCCGCTCGCAGAGCTACGAGTGCCACCAGCTGGGCTACCAGGGACACCTGCCAAGCCACGAGAATCACCAGCTGAGCTACGAGCACCACCTGTTGAGCTAGAGGACCACCGGGCATCCGAGGAAGGAGCAGGACAACAGGAAGACAGGCAACGTTATGAAAACTTTTGTTTTCCAAGGGAAACAGGAACAGCTATATACACATACGTCTATATATATATACATACACGTAAATTTAAGTATGTATACATGTGTCTACGTTTATGTATACGTATTCATGTACATGTGTGTATATATATATACATATATGTAGGTATATATATATATATGTGTTGTCCGTATATATGTATGTATGTATGTATGTATGTATGTATGTATGTATGTATGTCGGTCTGTCTGTCAGTTTGTCTGTCTCTCTGTCTGTCTGTATGTGCGTTTGTATGTCTGTACGTATTTACTTATAGTTGTATGTGTGTCTGTCGATGTATATATACACATCTTTACATACACGTGTTCACACATATATATATACATATATATGTTCATGTATAGGTGTATGTATGCATGTATGTATGTATGTATGTATGTATGTATGTGTACATGTATATATATATATATATATATATATATATAGACACATTTCATGCTGCCAAACCGAATCTTCTTGTCCTTTCATGTGAAACGACTGTTTCCATTGATTTCCATGTTTTTCTTGTTTCCCCCCTCGTTGTGCTGCGCGGACGGGCCCTGGGCCGTTCGGGGGACCTTGGGCATTCCGAGAAAAGGAGCAGGACAACAGGAACAGTAGTACAAACAAGGGCCGTCTTGTGTTTCCACGTTTTCACACAGAAGAAGAGACAAACCACAACACTTGTGATTGTTGTTTCTTTTAGTGCCTTTTCCGGTTTTCCACGTGAACACATTTTGGGGTCCAAATGTTTGTTTGTTTCGTTTTTCATGTTTCCTTTTGGCTTTCCTGGGCTCGAGGTGCCGCCTCTGCATATCCCCCACAGTAGAATTCTTTTTGCAAGATCGCCACACAAGAAATCGTTTTGTGAAGGCTGCTACAACCAGATTTTAGTTGCGGGGGCCTGGCGCTCCGAGGGAGGAACAAAACATAGGAAACACACAATCAACAAGGACAAACTTTTGTTTCCACGGGGGAAAAAAGAAACAGCTCCGAAACCGGTGAATGTCTTTTTGTTCCAAGCGATCTGATGACCCATGTGAACGCACAGCTTTTTGTCGTGCTCCCAGTTGTTTTTCCTAGCTAGCCTTCCTGGGCTCAAGGTACCGCTCGCCATTGCAGCCCCCCCCCCGCACTATTTGTTGTTGGTTGTTTCGCAATATCGCCACGCAAGAAATTCTTTTGTGAAGGATGCTGCGATATTTTTTGTGGAGGACCACCTCCATAACAACAGCGACAACCACAGGTCTTCCTAGCTCATTGCAGCGGTTGGCAACAGCCAGAACGAATAACGGTGTGTGTATGTATGTACGTACGTACGTACGTATGCATGTATGTATGTATGTATGTATTAATGTACATATATGTATGTCGGTATATATATATATGAACACACATACGTATGTATATATATATATGTAGAAGAATATATATATATATATATCGATATATATATATATATATATATATGCATATATATGTATATATATGTATATATATATATGTATGTATATATATATGCGCACACATATATATACAAACATACAGACATATATAGAGATATATAGATATAGATAGAGAGAGAAAGAAAAATATAGATAGAGAAATAACACGATATATATGTATATATATATATATATTTGTATATATATGTATTTATATATATATATATAGAGAGAGAGAGAGAACGAGAGAGAGAGAGAAATACATACAGAGAGAGAGAGATAACAACATACATATATATAGAGAAAGGGAGATATCACGAGATATTGAGAGGGATAATTATATATATGTGTATGTATGTATGTATGTATGTATGTATGTATGTATGTATGTATGTATATGTTTATATATATATATATATAGAGAGAGAGAGAGAGAGAGAGAGAGAGAGAGAGAGAGAGAGAGAGAGAGAGAGAGAGAGAGAGAGAGAGAGAGAGAGAGAGAGAGAGAGAGAGAGAGAGAGAGGAGAGAGCGGAGAGAGAGAGAGAGAGAGAGAGAGAGAGAGAAAGAGAGAGAGAGAGAAACAGAGAGAGAGAGAGTGTGAGTGAGTGAGTGAGTGGGGGAGAAAGAGAGAGAGAGAGAGAGAGAGAGAGAGAGAGAGAGAGAGAGAGAGAGAGAGAGAAAGAGAGAAAGAGAGAGCTGCAGCGGCGCGTGGACTACGATCCGATCTACGCAGCCACCATCCCGCTGGTGACGCGCCTGGCCAGGCGCATCTGGGAGGGCCGAGGCTCCCTGGCCAGCCTGAGCGCCAGCTGGGGCAAGCTGGCTGAGGCGGCGAGAGCGGGCACATTGACCCGGGCGTCGGTGCAAGGCCCGCTCGGGGCCACGTGGCTCGCGCTCGGCCGCATCGGCTGGACGATGACAGCGGCGTGGGCGCTGCAGACCGGCCCGGGCGAGACGCTGTCCATGCTAAGAGTGGCCCCATCGGGACATCAAGGACGCGCTGGTGGATGGCATCCAGCGCTGGCAGTGCAGACGGCTGGTGGCCCACCTGCCCGAGGGCCAGGGCGAGACCCTCTGGCCGAGGACAGTCCGCGCCGTGGCGCACAGGGCGAGGCCCGCGGCGGAGCTGGGGGCCATCCGAGCGGTATGGGCAGGAGGGCACTTCACCAACGCCTGGAGGTACGCCCGAGGACACGCCGACTCCGACATGTGCCAGGCTTGCGGGGGAGCCAAGGACACGCTCATGCACAGGTGGTGCGTATGCCCTGCTCTCGTGGTACCGCAGGGCGAAGAGCTGGAGCACGAGGAGCCGTTCCGCAAGCCGATCGCGGGGATGCGCCACCAGCTGGAGGAGGCCGAGCAGAAGTGGACCAGCGGGGACAGCGAGCTGCCGCTGTCGTACGGCCTGCCGCTGCTGTCTGCCATGCCGCCGCCTGTGCCGTCGGACAACGTGGTCTTCGAATGGGGCGCCGCGCAGGAGGGCTGGCCGTCGGTGGTATACACGGACGGCTCAGGACACGCCTCCAGTGTCCCCGAGGCGCGCAGGTGTGGGTGGGCCGCGGTTGCCCTCAGGCCTGATGGCCCCCCCTCAAGGCGGCCTGCGGGCCGCTGCCTGGGCCGCGCCAGACGGTGGGGAGGGCTGAGCGGCAAGCGTGCCCAGTGCCCCTGGTGCAGGCGGGCTCCGTCCAGGTCATCGTCAGCGACCGGCAGGCCTTAGTCACGGAGGGCAGTGACTGGTCCTCGACGGCGCAATCGGCCAGGGCACGGCGCGCCAGCATCTGGCGCCAGCTCCATGCGGCTGCAGCTAGGCGCGGGGGGCCGCCGCCGCGTCTCCGATGGGTGCCCGCCCGCCGCAGCCTCCAACAAGCGCTGGGCGCGGGCTTGCGGCCCCTGGACTGGCTTGGGAACTGCTGGGCGGACTTCTTCGCCAACCTCGGCGCGGGGGAGGCCAGGCTGCCCAACAACGCGGTGGAGGCGCTGCAAGCGGAGCTCCAGCGCGCCCTGGACACGGCCGCGTTCCTGGGCTGGGCGGCGGCGCGCATCTGCCGGCTGGGCTTGTGGGGGCCTCTCGGAGAAGATGGCGGACTCCAGCGCCGTCAGGTTTTGGGGGGGCCCGCTGCCCCAAAGCTCAGCCTCGCGTGGCACGAGTATCAAGTCATCAGCTCGTGCGGAGTGCAATGCGTGCATTGTGGGAGGGGGGCCTGCGCGGCAATGGCACGGGCGCTGCTGGACTGCAGACCCTGCCAGCCTACGGAGCTGGGCAGGGTGCGGGCCCGCTGCAGCCAGGGGCGGCCACTGGCGAGTTCAGCAGCTGTCAGCGCGAGCCTGCAGGCGGCTGAGCGCGAGCTCCTGCCCGTGAGCGGGGCGCGCACCACGGCAGAAGGCCAGAAGTGGACGACGCAGCGGAAGGTCGACTACCTGCTGGAGGCGGCCAGGGGTGCCCCTGCTGCGAGTCCTGCCGACGTGGAGGCAACTGGGCCGCCTTGGGCATGCTGGCTAGCTCCTGGATCGTCGACCTGATGGACCGGAGCCTGGCTTGCGCGTCCTGGATGGAGGAGTGCGCAGAGTGCGTTTACAGGCTGCTAGGCGAGGAGGTCTACCGCGGCTTCTTCGCGCGCAACAGCGACGAGATGCGCAGCGCGGAGCGCCTGAGGCGGGCCGAGGAGTTCTGCGAGAGAGGCTGGCGGGATGGCGGGCCCTTCAGGGAGGCCCACATCGACGAGGCGCCCCAGCTGGAGGGCGAGGCCAGGCAAGCCAAGCTCCAGCGGCTGAGGGGCTATCACGCGGCGGCGCGCGCCTTCCTGTGCGACCGTGGCAGCGCGCGGCGCGCTGGGGGCAGACGCGGGCCTCTCTACTTCACATTCTTTGAGCCCGTGGGCGGAGCGCGTGGCGGAGGTAGTGGCGGCTGGCGGCAGGGTTGCGCGCCCCGGCGGCGAGGGCGCTCGAGGTCTCGGACGAACAGCCGTACCATCCAGTCGCAGGGCCGCGCGGGAGGCCGAGCTGAGCCGCAGAGGCCCGTGCTGCCGCGGCCAAGAGGCGATGCGGAGGGGCCGCAGCGGCCAGTGGGCCCGCGGGCCGTCCCCGCCCAGCGGCGCAGGCGCAGTGCGGAGCAGTCAGCCAGCAGGTCCCGCTCTCCGCAAGCGCGGGGCCAGCCCGCGGCCCACAACGAGGCCGAGCGCAACGACGGCCCCGACCCTGACGCAGCGATCGGCCTGGGGGTTCTGCGCAGCATGCTGAGGGCCTTCGCGGGCTGCTGGGCGTTTGACCTGCGCGACCCAGAGGCCGCGGAGGACTCCTGGATGGCCTGGGCGGCGCAGTGCGCCCTCGCCTGTCTGGCCAGGCCCGACAATGAGGATGCGAGGGCGGTGGCTGCGAGGCGAGCAGGCTCCATGCGCTTGCGTGCGCTGGTCCAGGCGATGGTCAGGCAAGCGTGGCTTTTGAAAGCGGACGCGCGGCGCATCGCAGTGGGGCGCCTGATGAGCCTGGAGACCTTGGAGGAGTGGTTGCACGTAGCCGCTTTGCAGTGGGCCACACTGGGCGACGTCTGCTGCGCCGTGGGAGGCGTCATCGGCGAGGCGGGGGCCAACCTGCCCGCTTTGCTTGGCTTCGCTGGGGCCCTGCCTGGCCTGGGCCCCGCTGGCTCCAGCGAGCAGCCCTCCCGCCAAGCTGGCCTGCCGCGGCCCCAGGGCCTTCGCGGCCGAGGGATCGAAGCATTGCGGCGGCCGTGGCCAGGCACTTCGCACAGCCCGCAGCTGCCGATGGTGAGCGCGATGCAGGGCGGGCCAGATGCCCTGGGCAGAGACAGCGACGGCGAGGGCGACTGGCTGCACCCAGAGGCGGCGCCGTCTGGGCTGCCCCCGCCCCCGCCTGCGGCCGCAGCGGGTCAGGCACCGCCGCCGCAGCCAGAGGGGGCGGACCAGGGGCTTCGTGGCGATGCCGTTGCGGTGGGAGGCGACGACCCTGCTCTGGCTGACAGAGGAGGCGAGGCTGCGGCTGCCCGCGGGGCGGGGGGCCTGCCCGTGGCGGCTGTCTGCGCCTTGGCGGCGGCGGCGGCAGCGGCTGCTGGGCCCGGCGAGTGCGGCGGCGGTGGGCAGGGGCCGAGTGCGGATGCCCGTGGGGTCCAGCGCTCGAGGAGCCCCGAGCGGGTGGGTGGTCCCCGCCCGCCGCGAGGAAAGCTGCAGCTAGCAGAGGTGCACCTGGGGCACGGCCTGCGAACAGCGGGGCAGTATGCCTTCTGCTGCAAGTGCGGGGCCTTCGCGCAGCTGAAGGGCGTGGATCGGGCCAAGGGCCTGAAGGCGGAGTGCGGCGGCCGCTTGCCACTTGGGCCGCAGGCAACGGCTGGGGAGAAGAATGAGAGGCTCGACCTGGGCCGCCTGCTGAGCGGGAAGGACCCGTGCACTGGGCGGCCGCTCGGATGAGCTCGGGGCTGGTGCTGCTGGCGGGCTGCCCGCTGGCCCTGCGGGCCCCTCGGCCGCGCGCCTGGCGCGTTGCCACCTCCTGGGCGCAGCCTCGCTGGGGCCCAGATCCTGATCGGCCGCGTGCCTGCGCGCGGCCGCCTGCGGCCTGCTGGGGCGGGCCGCCCTGGTGCCAGGCCTGCAGCCGCGAGGGCTGCGCGGCCTTGCGCGTGCGTTCGGGCGTCCGCGGTCGGCTCGACCGACTGCGGCCGCTCCTCGGGGTGCGAGAGAGAAAGAGAGAGTGATAGAGGGAGAGATAGCCTCCCCCGACGCCCCCCCGCGGGTTCTGCGCTCTGATATCTGCCTTGCTCTCTCCTTCTCTCCCTCGTGCTGCAGCTCCCCCCCCCCGTTTCTTCCAAGGAGGCCTGCGTCTCGCGCAGCTCCTCCCGCGCCTCCTTGAGCGCGGCCGTCTTCTTCTTGAACTGCTCCTTGCAGTGGTTGGCAGCCGCATCTGCCAAATCGGCTTCGTGCTTGTGGTCGTGCACGTCCCTGCAGTGGCGGTTGGCACGGCGCGACCGCGCGTCCAGGACGCTCGCGGCCGCTTCATTTATCCAGTGGAGGTTTGCGAGCTGCGGCGCGCGCCTCCCGCGCTGGCTTGGCCATTGCTGGCTTGTTGCCGAGGGCGTGCTCTCTCTCTCTCTCTCTCTCTCTCTCTCTCTCTCTCTCTCTCTCTCTCTCTCTCTCTCTCTCTCTCTCTCTCTCTCTCCTCCTCTCTTCTCTCTCTCTCTCTCTCCTCTCTCTCTCTCTCTCTCTCTCTCTCTCTCTCTCTCTTCTCTCTCTCTCTCTCTCTCTCTCTCTTCTCTCTCTCCTCTCCTCTCTCTCTCTCTCTCTCTCTCTCTCCTCTCTCTCTCTCTCTCTCTCTCTCTCTCTCTTCTCTCTCTCTCTCTCTCTCTCTCTCTCTCTCTCTCTTCTCTCTCTCCTCTCTCTTCTCTCTCTCTCTTTTTTTTTTTTTTTTTTTTTTTTTTTTTTTTTTTTTTTTTTTTTTTTTTTTTTTTTTTTTTTTTTTTTTTTTTTTTTTCTCTCTCTCTCTCTCTCTCTCTTTCTCGTCGTGGCCCTGCGCACCCGGTTGTCGTGCAGTTTCTTATCGTGAGCAGGGGTCCCCTTCTCTGGATTGTCCATGGCGCCGCGCAGCCCGGGGCACTGAACCAGTCAAACCTGGGGCCAATGCAGGTTACGCGCGCGTGTCGCACAATCGTCCAACGCGTGCTGGATATACCCCAGTGCATTATTGATGATAGCGCACCTGCTGCAGGTGATGATGATCATGCTGACGACGATGATGGTGCTGATGTTCAAGATCATGATGATGGTGGTGGTGGTGGTGATGATTATGCTGGCTATGATGATGATGATGCGGATGGTGGTGGTGGTGATGATGGTGGTGGTGGTGGTGGTGGTTATGATGGGAAAGGATGATGGCGGTGTTGAGTGTTGCGATGGTGGTCGTGCTGCTGATGATGATGAGGACGATGCTGATGATGCTGCTGACGATTATGATGCTGATGATTGTTCTGACTGTCATGAAGATGATGATGGTGGTGATGCGGATTTTGCTGATGACGGTGGTGGTGGTGAGGATGATGGGGATGAGGATGATGCTGGTGCTGATGGTGATGTCATGCTGCTGATGATGATGTGGGCAATTTTGATGCTGCTGATGATGATGACGTTGATTTTGCTGATGGTGGTGGCGCCGACGATGATGATGCTGATGATGATAATGGTTCTGGTGGTGATGCTGATGTTGATGATGCTTGTGCTGCTGATGATGATTATGATGATGATGCTGCTGATGTTGATGATGATGCTGATGCTGATGCTGATGCCGATGCCGATGCTGATGCTGCTGGTGATGATGATGATGATGATGGTGATGATGATGGTGATGATGATGATGATGATCGCGATGATGGCGGAAATGCGGCTGACAATTCTATGACGAAGGAGCAACACAAATATGAGACAGGAGGGTCCCGCATCGTCCCCCTCCCTCTGAGCTAGGGGGCCGCGCGAGCTACGATGGCTGCGTACAGTGCTACGACAGCCATCAGCTGAGGTCGTAGGACCACCTGCCGAGCTACGACAGCCACCCGTTCAGCTACGAACGCATGTTGAGCTACGTAGGCTTCAGGCAGAGCTACGAGAACCGCCAGCGGGGCTACCAGCGCCACCACCTGAGCTTCCAGAGCCACCTGCAGGGTCGCGAGGGCCACGAGTTGAGCTTCGAGGTCGGCAAGCCGAGCTACGAGGACCACGGGCCGTGCTAGGAAGAACACCGGCTGGATTACGAGGGCCACCGCGAAGGCTACAAAGGCCACGAGCTGATTTACGGGGGACACGAGCTGAGCATCAAGGGCCTCCAACAGAGTTACCGTTGCCACCAGTTGAACTACAAGGTCCACGAGCCCGATGCAGCTGCGACGGCCGCCAGCCGAACTACGGGGGAACAGGGCTGAACTACGAAGGCCGTGAACAGGACTCCGAGAGCCACCGGCCGAGCGACAGAGGCCACGACAAGGGGTTGAGGAGAGCGACGAGCAGGAGGAACCCATCTTCATCATGTACGCCGCGCTTGAGGGGGTGGACTTTCTTCTCAGGGGCCATGATCGCCGAAGGGGAGGCGGTCACAGAGGCGGCCTTCGCCGTCAGTGTTTGTCCAAACCCACGAGCCCCGCGTATAACAATCCCCACGACACGATGGTATCCATAGGCATGGGCTTTGGCCTCCAGTGCGAGGGTGGTGGCGCGATGGCTCGCGTGCTGGACCCTTTCTGAGCTCGCAACCAGTACGAGGCGCGCCAGAAACGAATACCTATGTGCCAATGGCCCATGCCAATCCTCGCCGCGTATCTTCCACGACGGCAGGAGGAAGACGAACGCGATGACGAGGACAACGAGGACGACGGGGAGCATGAGGAAACCAGCGAAAAGGACAACACATACTCAAACGAAACGAGGTGGACTGCTGAGTGCGACGACCTGGTGAGCGACGATTCCGGGGAGTAATGGTGATACTGGCCTGCCTGAGGCCAGAGAAGATTACGACGTACCACAGCGGTACGGACAATGGTTGTCCATGTAGATCTTATACACAAGGCAATTTACTACGTCTACACATGTAGTGCTGTAGGCGTCATCTCCGACAGCGTGTACATTACCGACGAGGGACTCCGTGTATTACGCTTATGACGATATGCTACGTCTATGGTATATACCGCATCTGTTGAGTGGCTGAACAGAGCGGTTCGCAGTCCTGAGTCCTGATTCCTGAGGAGGAGGAGGTGGAGGAGGAAAAAGGAAGAGGAGGAGGAGGAGGAACAAAACAAACATACTAGTGTTACAAAGAAGAATACTAATAACAATAACAATCTTAGTATCAATAATACGGTTAAAAAAAAGCATGAAAATCATCATATCGATGCATATCTTAATTTTCATACTATTAAAAAGAATATTTCTAGTAGTAGCATTATCATTTATTTTACTTTTAATGATAATGACAGTACTAAAATTCTTGATAATAAGAATGAGAAAGATAGTCGTAATATGAATGCGAATCAGAACCACATTAGAAGTTCTAGTACTTCTAATGATAATAATACGAATAACACTAACAATATCAATACATACAGGAGTCGCGTCGTTAGTTCGTATCCGGAGAGGAGGAGGCGCATGCAATATGCATCTCATGCAATGCATTCGCCTCCCTCAGTTCTGTGCCCTCGTCGTTGTCGTCCTCCTCCCCCTTCTCGTCCCGAGAGCAGGCAACAGCAGCGAGGAGGGCGAGGGCGCCGACAGTGGCGTTCGCAAGATGCTCGTCCTGACGCCGCGGCCTGCACCGGTGACTTCGTTGAGGATCGCCTTCCGCACCCCCCCACGCCTCGCAGACGCCGCCCTTTGCCCTGTGCCCGCTGCCCTCTGCCCTCTGTCCTCTGCTGATTCTTTTCCCTCCCTCCTTCCTCGTCGTCCTCCTCCTTCCTCTTCCTCCTCCTTCCTCCTTCCTCCGTCCTCCTTTCTCCTTCCTCCGTCCACCTTCTTTCATACTCCTTCTCCTCTTCCTTCCCCCCGTTCGGAGAGTTTCTGGGGGTGCGCCCGGGTGGGCGCGGCTCTGCACGACGTGGAGTCGGATGGTCGTTCGTTGATTCGCTCGCTCGCTCGCTCGGGAGGGTTTTTGGGGATGGAAGAGGTCAGCCCTCGGCGCATGATTATCCGTAAGGGCTTCGCCCCCTGCCGCTGGCCCCCTCTCTCGGAGAATGGGCCATGGAAGAGCTAAGTCATGAGGCCTTGGCGCTGTCGTGAAGCAGTATCGAAACTTCATGCGAAGCCGATTCGCAATCAGCAAAACCAACTGATCACAAGAGGGGTTACCACACCTGGCGATTGGTAAGACGTGTATGGTTTACGGGCTTGGTTACCACACCTTGCGATTAAAGGGCCGAGGGAGTTCTCGCAGTTTGGGTTACCACGCCTTGCGATGGATGTGCGTGAAGGGTGGCACCGAATTTCAGAAATGTGGCAAATCCCCTGTGTTTTTGGACCCTGACCCCGCGGATCTGCGTAAGGGGTGGCGCCGAATTTCAGAAATGTGGCAAATCCCCTGTGTTTTTGGACCCTGACCCCGCGGATCTGCGTGAGGGGTGGCACCGAATTTCAGAAATGTGGCAAATCCCATGTGTTTTTGGACCCTGACCCCGCGGATCTGCGTGAGAGGTGGCACCGAATTTCAGAAATGTGGCAAATCCCCTGTGTTTTTGGACCCTGACCCCGCGGATCTGCGTGAGGGGTGGCACCGAATTTCAGAAATGTGGCAAATCCATTTGTTTTTGGACCCTGACCCCGCGGATCTGCGTGAGGGGTGGCACCGAATTTCAGAAATGTGGCAAATCCCTTGTGTTTTTGGACCCTGACCCCGCGGATCTGTGTGAGGGGTGGCACCGAATTTCAGAAATGTAGCAAATCCCCTGTGTTTTTGGATCCTGACCCCGCGGATCTGCGTGAGGGGTGGCACCGAATTTCAGAAGTGTAGCAAATCCCCTGTGTTTTTGGACCCTGACCTCGCGGATCTGCGTGAGGGGTGGCACCGAATTTCAGAAATGTGGCAAATCCCGTGTGTTTTTGGACCCTGACCCCGCGGATCTGCGTGAGGGGTGTCGATTTCGAGCCCCCCCAGCAATTCAGACAACGCGCCCAGGGGGTGCTAAAAATCCGGTTTGGGCCTCCCCCCCCCTCGCGCGGTCAATCAACTAGTTACAGTAACCAGCAATAAGCAGAA